TACCAGGATTCGGACACCTAATTAAGTTGAACTTGGTAGGTGTTGTCCAACATTACAGCCATGCGATCCCCAAACCCACCCAGCGCCCTGCTGTATGTGGTTTCTCTGCGGCTCTGCATTCTTCTGCCATTCCCTTGCCCAGCGCTGCATGAATCTGTATCTATGACAGCCGTTCATCTGCGATGCAGGCGTCCGCGCCTCGGCTCTCAGATCTTCGAACCGCGAGGCAGTGACTGCTACTTTGCAGGGGCCTGTAGGGGCCAGGGCACTTGGATCACTTGCGCTTACCGTGCATGTTGCAGTGGCAATGTTTCTGACTGGGAGGACTCGACGATCCATGACCGACCGGTGCCCTGACGTGTTTCTGCTACATTGGAATCATTATCATCGCGTCCGTTACTAGAGAGTGCAGCACGTGCTGCTACACATTTAGCATACACCAAGTGCCAAGTTGACCAAATTTCAACCCTCNNCAGCATGGATCTGTGTTCTGCTATTTTGGCACTCAGCACAAACGAGCATCTTGCTGTAGGCCTCTACAGCAGGCAGGATGACAGCCGCAATGTTGGTGCAAATCAGGGAAGAGTGTGCTGCTGGGCTGGGCTGGGCCGGGCTGGGCTGTTGCTGTTGCTGTTGCTGTTGCTGTTGCTGTTGCTGTTGCTGTTGCTGTTGCTGTTGCTGTTGCTGTTGCTGTTGCTGCTGCTGTTGCTGTTGCTGTTGCTGGGCTGGGCTGGGCCCAAAAACCCTCGCCCTCTCACTCGCACCCCTATGGCTCCCACCCTTTCTTATGAACCTCCCACCTGGTCGGACATGATCTTGGTGGGAGAGCCTGGGTTTGCTCCTTCTCCTAGCTTCCTTTTGACGTCCTCTCCAGGGTTTTTTCTCGTGTGCAGTGCGTGCTGTTGCTTTGCTTGCACCAGCGCTATCCATCCTCATCCTCGCCCTCACTCCTGCCTGTCAGATGGGCGTCAGGAGTCTCTCGAGGGTGGCCTCCAGAAGCCACTCCTCGCTGCGTAGCCAGGCCACGGTGCGGGACTTTAGCTCGAGCCCAAGCGTCCCTGTCGGTATAGATACATCGCTTTGACAAGACTCAGCTGGTGGCGAGCACGTTGTCCTTATTGTTGACTCGCGAGGAGTTGTAGAGGTGGCTTTGGGTCTCAGAATGGCCTGGACTGTGCGAAGCATGGGAAAGCCGCCTGCTTCATGCTGAGCCTTTCAGGTTGAGAGGTGGAACCTGCATGAAAGAACAAAGCGGCAGCCTGAGCTGAAAATCGGTTCTGTCCTCATCCGTCAGCGGCTTTGAGTCTTTTCTGTAGCAGTGCGGATCGCGTTTTTTTGAGGCGTCGCTGCGAGCTAGACCTCATGATCCTGTATATGTCTATGCAGCAATGGTTCAGAGTCAGTTCAGTGCGCGTAAGAAAGAGCCTTAAGCCCAGACTTTTGCGGGTTGAAAAACGCAATTGTGGACTTTTGCCGAGAAGTCGGGCTTTGTGGTGTGGTAGGAGATGGCGGGAGTCTGCGTCCGGTGCGATACGAGTCACTGCCCCGATAGGCCCGGGGGTACTGTGGGAAACTGAGGGTAAAGAGATGTAAAAGGGGAGTCCGAAGGCCGAATGAAAAGCGGCCTCAAAGGGACGGGCCTGCGCCTTCGCGCAGCGAGTCGAGGCGGCTTCGCCAGAAAAGGCTTGGGGTTTCTTGTTGTTTGAAGGGTTCGGCGTGGCCTGTTGCTGTTGGCTTAAGAAGGAGCCTTTTTGAGGTAGGACTCCGCACTCCGGCGCAGCGGTTGCGCGAGCCGCTGGCGGCTTTGGAGGATGGCCTCCGTTGCGGCCGCCTTTGCCTTCACTGGCGTTCTGGGCGTTTCCTTCTGCAAAGGGCGCCGGGCCCGCCGGGCCGCCGCGACGCAGAGCAAGAAAGAAGGGCAACTGGANNATCCGGAACGTCAGCGACCAGGAGGAGACTTGGAGACTGGAGACTTCTTCGCCCCATCCGATTTTTCGTGCATGGGGCCTAGTAGGGGGCAGTTACAGTAGGGGGGGCCTAGTGTATAGTGTAGGGCCTATAGGCGGCTCTAGGGTGAGAGAAAGTGAAGCGCCAGGATCAGTCAGAGAAGAACCTCGACGCCCAAGAGCTCGGTCACAGGCTCGACCCGATGAAGAACCGGATCTTGGAGCTTCGGATCATCTTGGGCGTGGGAGTCGCTTTCGGGGCCTTCCAAGCTCCCTGGCAAGCTCTGCCGGTTCTGATCGACCGGAAGATTGCCGCGGACCCTGCCTTGCCTTTGAGCGAAAGTCAGTTGAAAATCAGTGAGACCTTCGTTTTCGTTGGTTGGCTCCTCGGTGCAGTCGCACTGCATCCCTTGATGCAAAGGCT